GACGCAATTGCACCTCCGAGACCAACAGCAGACCAGCTAGCAGCTGCATTTGGCTTGTTATCTTCCTCTTGTTTGTAATCCTTGGTATAGAAAGTCGGAGAGTTGAAGGCGGAGAAGAACCAGAAGGAAGTGATATGGATAACCCAAATGCGGTTGAAGTTCACTATCATATGAAACCATGAACGGGTCTCCTTGTACGTCTTGAAAAATGCCTTCTTCCAATTAACGTCCTTCAATTTCTCAAATCGTGCGGCTGGAGGGATATCGACCAGTCGAGTTTTATCCTCAAGAAGAATCAGCTCAATACCCTCGGGATACCAGAAGAGCTGGTTAATATCGTCATAGCCAATGATCTTGTTGTGGTCACGTTCACGACGCACATATTTGCCATCAAGGATCTCGTAGCCTTGATCACGGCAGTATTGGTATAATGGAGTGATAACTTCGTTAAGGTAGGTGAACTCTGGAACAGGTTCAACTCGATTCTGGCATTCGGGAGATCGAAGGTAGTCATCTGCGCATTTGAAGATGAAACACAGACATTCTGGCATAAAGCGGACCTGGTTGGCTTCACCCCAACAGAGCAAATACAAAGCAACCTGGCGGGTTCTATCGTGCTGTGACATGCGGTTCATTCTGGTTTTCCACCTATATTCGGCAGCTTCAAGACTGTTGTCACCTTCCAACGATTCAAGGGTATTTTCTTCATTATTGGCGTCGGCGCCAGCATTTTTCTTTGCGGCCTTTCGAGCCTTACGAGTCCGTCGACTTCCTTTTCCAAGTTTCATGTTTGCAAAACCGACGGCATCATCCAAATCCAGATGTGCGGCAAAATACCAGCGACGATAGTTGGCATTCTCACCACCAATGTAGTCGGCATGAAGAGAGAGCAAAGCCTGGTTGGGGGTCATCCTCGATGCTCGAGAATCCAACTGAGTCATGAGGTGATCATACATGTTTCGCATACTATCTCGTTGGAACCCAAATTTATTAACCAGATCTAGAAAAATGTCTTCAATTTCTTCTTTAGACAGAGGGATCTGAGCGTCGGAAGTCCAGGCTGGATAAGGTTCGCGAGATCGCTGCCCCATGGGGAGTGCATTGCTGTAGTCGAGACCATACACGGGGGTGGAAGCTCCAGAAGATCGATTGCCACCATAGGAAATCTGAGAAGAAGGTGGTCGATAGCCGCGTCCGCCGGCTTGGTGTTCGCTGTAACTGTTATACCGTTCATCACCACGGCCGTAGTAATCCATATCAGCAGCACGTGCGGTTTCTGATCTCATTGTAAAGTCGCTGAACGTCTCTGAATCTTCCTCAGAATCATGACCGCGTCGTCGTCCGCGATACCCAGCAGCCTGCTGTCCGCCAGCACCTTGGTCATAATATTGATCATTATAGTAGTCTCCTTGGTTGCCGTATTGATTATCGTAATAGCCATCTTGTTGATAATCTCCACCGCTATGATAATCCCTAGAGCGATAATGCCAATTAGCCATTTAACGCACATAAATGATGGCGAATATGACCACTTACGGTCTATCATAATATCCATCTCCCTGCTGGGAGTAATCGTACTGGTCATAATAGGCTCCTTGGTCCTGGTAGTAAGCATCACCCTGTTGTTGGTTATTTGGTTGTCCTGGCTGGTTGTTGTAGCCATCATCGTAATGATCCTGGCCGCCTTGCGGATATGCAGCCATGATGACTGAATTTGTCCTCAACGACTAAACTATTAAGCTATTGCATATTGTAAGTGACGATTCCAAGTGACGGGATTATCAATGGGGAAGAGATTGGAAAAGAGTAAAAATATAAATATGAAGTAGGGTTATGGCTCACCTTTAACAAGGACCCATTCAGAGTAGAATAAGAGTGGTGAAGAGATTGACAGATTGACGTCTATGCGTCGAATTTAGATACTTTTTTTTTGAGTGAGAGAATGTCACAAAATAAGAATGAAACAGAGTGAATCGATTACAAAAGCTCTGGGGGATCCGAGAGAGTCGATTTGCACTCCAACCAAGCGAGTGCGGCAGAAGGCAAGAAAGGGTGAGAGGGTTCTCGTGTCGTGTCGTCGCACCAGCAGCGGAGACAAGATTGGTCGATGCTATTGATCGGTGGTGAAACGAACGAAAGGGGGGCGGGATTTGCAATGATATCCGTGTGACCTGCCTGGGGAGCAGGAACGATGCACGAAAGCTCTCTAAAAACGGCGCTTTCGATGATGGACTCGAGGATCTGCTTTCCTCCTAACGCTAAGAGCGGTTAACAGGAGCGAAGGAAGGGAAGGAAGGAGGATCGTGACTGGCAAGTCTTGTAGTATATGGAGTAAAAAAAAATATAAACGAGGTAGAGACTACAAAGAAGTAGAAGGCGCAGTTTAAACGAATGTGTGTTGTGTGAAGGAAACGAATGAAGGAGAAGACAGTGGTAGGCGAGGGGAGGGAACGAGAGTGGTTGTCTCTTTCTCTCTCTCTCTCTCACTTCTCTCTCTTGATGTCGCTATTCACTCGGAGGGGAAATAAATTTATTAGAGGTAAAGTAGGATAGGAGAAAGGAGAGCGACGACACGGAAGCCAGCGAGAGAAATTGAAACCTGGAAAACAAGATGGTCGTATCTATCCATACAGCATGTATACACAATCCGTACACTCATACATACATACGTACATACATACCGCCCAGTACGACTTGGCCAAGAAAATCACTATGAACTAACTCACTAGCTCTACACTGCAGGCTGCTTGATGCAAGCCGGTAATTATACACCCTTCCAGATGAATTTTTGTTCTTTTTGGGTCTGGCGAGTATCAATGCACTTCTTATGGTGCAAGAGTGGTTGCTGGATAGACACTGTTGACATGGCGAGCCTGGGTCGGGAACCGTACCAAATACCACATAATGGTACGGCAGGCTCCTATTGGCGGGTTCGGTACAGGGGAATCCCCACTGGCCGCCAGCGAATCACAGCCCCGTACCAGAAAAGGGGGATGAGGTAAACCAGGGCTTGATACGCTGACCTGTATGGATACGATGGAGTAATAGCGCTATTAATACACGCTCGAGACTTAGTCTGAACCCTCCCCCCTGGCGCTGCCCGGCCCACCCACTCCTCCTGGTGATTTCGTTGCCTCATGAAGGAGCAACACACAGAACAGAGAGAGTAATAAGTAATGAGCACTCGATTCAGATATATCCATTAGATATATTGGGGAAAGCCATATTAGACGGCAATCACTCGCTTTCAACCTACCAAAGGGGAAAATCCAGACTTTGTTAATTACGGTGAGTCTCTGCCAACAAAGGGAATGTAAGTTTGTCAGCGCCTAACATGAAGCTGTTGATCAGGCAGATCATCCAGCAAGGAAATTTCTTGCCCACGCCACCCAAACCAAGCCAATCATTTCCATCAGCTTACACCTGCACGGCCAGTTGTGACGCGGCACCCAACATGGGTCCAATCGCATCGCTACAAAATAAATGATCAGTCTAACCTCCTGTTGACGTGTTTGTAACGTCCTTGTCACTTCATATTAGGCTAATGTGCAAACATACGGAGTACACAGTATCGCTTTTCTCTTTCTTTTTCGATCCTCATCAACAGGGCAGCTTGACATTATTCTGACACCGTTCTGGAACATCTCCCCCACCTAGAAGGCAAGAAACAAGGTCCTTGGAAGCCGCCGGAGCTGGTGTCTCAGGTTTTTTTTCTCTCCTCCCTTTACGCCGGAGATAGCAAGGCTAGGTGGAGATGCTTCAAGTACGGATCTCGAGATACTTGGAGGGTACCACTAATGAAGGTTAAATTACTCACGATTGTACATGCATTCACTTTCAAGCTCAGGTACTATGATGGTACCTTGCATCGCACTTGGTTTGTTGTCTCTCACTTTGCGCCACTTTTTCCACCAGTTCTCATGTTGGATGGGGCAAATTTGAGTTACAGAAGGCACACTGTACTTTGCCACCACTGACCACCAGAGACTATAAACTAACACAATGAGAATTGACTTCCAGATTTCTCACAGCTACCAATAACATTTCTTATATATGCCCTTATAATCGAGAGCTAACTAATTAACCATTTATATACCCTTATCTTGAGTTAAAAAGGATAAAGACCAACCATGGGTCAGATTGTCACGTGCTTCCTGATCCTGTCATGCTCATGATGACTAACTGGCGGCCAGCTCCCACTCAGTCGGCCTTGTGGTCTAGTGGTAGTAAGTTAATTCAGCTCGGCAAATTCCTCGCCATATCAGTGCCTAACAATTTCAATAGTGATTCTCGCTTTGGGTATCCAATTTGCGAGAGGTCTCGCGTTCGAATCGCGGCAGGGCCCTCTTTTTTTTCAATTCTTTTGATCCTTGAACATGCTTTTTTTTCGTCAATCAGAATGCTTATCGATTCCCCCCAAACACCACCCAAACATACTGAAATAAAGAGCCCTTTTCCAATATAGTCCCCTCGATTCTTTTTTTTCAGGGTGTTTTCCTGCATGGTCAAGTATTGATCTAAGTGGTTGTACTTTGTAGTGAGAAATTAACCAGCATTCTCAAGCGGTGAGGGTTTCTCGCCTGTGCTTCTTGAACTCTGTTCATCCAGCCTAGACCATCTGAATTGAATGATTGGATCGGGAGGTTCGGATAATTGCCCCTCTCGAACTTGGACTCAGCGCCGCGAGGGGCTGTGGCAATCCAGTAACTGGATCGTTAGGACAAAGTAGACATGAATTTTTTTATTTTATTTTTTTCCCTTGGGGTAATGAGGGCCAACCAACCACTCAATTGAAGGAGAGAGAATAGTTGGCCCTCCATTCATTATTAGATTCTCATGTTGACCTGAGTTCTCTGGTAATACGAATGCCGCATTAATACGGAGTATGCAAAAAATTGTTTGAGATTTGTTTTCTCTCTACTTGATTGAAGATATAAAAAATTGCAAGTCCATTTTCCTCTACAATATCTAAATCTATTTCCCTGTTTCTGGTATAGAGAGCTCTTGTGGTCTAGTGGTATGATTCTCGCTTTGGGTATTCCAATCTGCGAGAGGTCTCGCGTTCGAATCGCGGCAGGAGCCTCATTTTTTTTTATTTCTTTTATTTTTTTTGGTTGTCCCTTGTTTTGGCATCGGACTGGGTGATGTGGATATCAACCAAAAAGTAATCCTTCAATCAAATCAAAAACTAGCCGGCCTATGAAGGAAGGGTTTCCAAGCATACAACCAACATACGTATTAATTAAATATCTAAGGAGTATGTACGGAGTAGGTTGAGTGGGAAAGGGCTGTGCTCTGTCCCCTTGGGCTTGCAAATGTATATTAACTACTCCGTATATTAGATCGGATCGCATGCACTCCGTGCTCCGTAAGTAAGTATTAATATCAATACGACGATAAAAAATATAAAATATCTAACTGTCTCAAGTTGACGATCACTGGCTACGAAACAACGACGTCGCTGGCCCCTTTTCCGCGGGTTACGCAAGCCCTGGGTCCGCTAGAGAAGTCAAGGCTTCGAGATCCTTGTCTCACCTGACCCGCACCCTCACATTCATTCTTAACCTCTTGTTCTTTCTCGCTCTCGCTCTCTCTTTTCTTTCTGACTGACTCTCTTTCAACTCTCTCACTCACTCGTTTCATGCCTTCTGCGTTGTAATATCTATTCATTTCGTTCGCTTTCTCATTCTCATTCTCGACATTCATTTGAAAGAATCCTCTTCCTCGCCCTGGAAATCCCCCCCGTTCTTCCTCTCGTTAAAAGGACCATCTAACTTAACCTAACTTTTTCTCATGCCCATTTAATTGCAATTTAATTTCCATAATGAAGTTCTCGTCTTTCGTGGCCACTACGGCCTTGGTCGCTGGCTCCCTGGTATCAGCAGAGCTGGACCCCATCGTGATCAAGGTACATCGGGCTTGTTTGGATCTCCCCATCTAATCCAACGCTTTACTGACCAGCTGAGGGAATTCATAGGGAACCAAATTCTTCTACAAATCCAATGGCACAGAATTGTAAGTTATCCTGCACAGTTACCATGAAATGAACTATACTAATACTCCATATTTTTTCAGTTTCATGCGTGGTATCGCATATCAACGTGAGTAAAACATCAAATGGCGATGGTCGCAAGATTCCACAAAGTCCCGACACTGATCTTTCGGTTTATAGAGGACATGTCGAGCAATGGTACCACTAGTGGTGATTCAAAATACCGAGATCCCCTCGCCGACGTAGAGGCTTGTGAACGTGATATCCCACTCATGGCAGAACTGAATACCAACACCATCCGAGTCTATGCCATCGACCCCAAGAAGGATCACACCCGGTGCATGGAGCTACTAGACAAGGCCGGAATCTATGTTGTTGCCGATTTATCCGAACCTGAAACATCTATTATTCGCTCCGATCCAAAATGGAATGATGATCTATATGAACGTTATACTACCGTTGTTGACGAGCTCGCTAAGTACTCAAATGTGATCGGTTTCTTTGCCGGTAATGAGGTATCCAACAACCTTACCAACACGGACGCTAGCGCATTCGTCAAGGCTGCTGTCCGTGATACCAAGGCATACATCAAGAAGAAGAACTACCGGCCCTTGGGTGTTGGATATGCTACTAACGACGATGCCGATATCCGTGACGACATGACCAACTACTTTAACTGTGGAAACCGCGAGGAAACCATCGATTTCTGGGGTTACAACATCTACTCTTGGTGCGGAGATTCTTCCTACACCAAGTCCGGATTTGACAAGGTTGTAAAGGATTTCTCCGATTTCAACGTTCCCGTCTTCTTCGCCGAGTATGGCTGCAATATTGTGCGACCCCGTATGTTCACTGAAGTCCAGGCCATCTACGGTGACAAGATGACTCCCGTCATCAGCGGTGGTATTGTGTACATGTATTTCCAGGAAGAGAATAACTATGGTAAGCACCCTCCTCCACCCGATTTTAACGACTTCTCCTGAATTTTATTTTCTAACTTGCACGGCGTTACAGGACTTGTCAAGGTCAGTAACGGCAAAACCGAGAAACTTCCTGACTTCAACAACCTCAAGAAGCAAATCAGCAAAATCTCTCCCTCTGGTGTCGTAATGAATAGCTACACTCCCACCAACACCGCACTTCGCTCCTGCCCAACCAGCTCCACCTGGAAAGCCAATGGCAAACTCCCCCCAACCCCCAACAGGCAGCTCTGCGAATGCATGACCAAATCTCTGTCCTGTGTAGCCAAGTCCTCTATCGATGACAAGGATCTCGGAACGCTCTTCGGTGAGGTTTGTGGTATGGACAAGGATGCATGCAAAGGCATCTCCGTGGACGCCAACAAGGGCAATTACGGTGCTTACAGCATGTGCTCTCCCATCGAACAGCTATCTTTTGCCTTTAACGCATACTACCAGAATCAGAACGAGGCCGGCAATGGCGCTGACGCATGTGACTTCGGTGGCAACGCTGAGACTCAGGACCCCGAGGAGGCTGAAGGAAAGTGTTCCGACTTGATGGAGGAAGCCGGTCCAGATGGCACTGGCGATGTCACCTCCCAGCCCGATGGTACCCGTGGAGGCTCTAGCACCAGCTCATCTGCCGCCATGGTGATGGGCATGCCAGCATTCAACTTTGGAATACTCCAGATGGGTGCTTATGTGGTGTGCGCTGTTTTTGCTGGTGCGGGAATGATTTTATTGTAAACATGCAACCAAGCTATGGCGCTACATAAATTAAGATTTTCCTTTTTACCTGTTCCTCAAATTTATGTTTTTTCTCTTCCTCTATCCTACATACCTGATTATACCAACCTTTTTTGTCTTTTCTCTCTTACTCTCTTCTGTTCTTTTTTTTTTGACCTCAGACTGTCTTAGTTCTGTATTCATATCAAAGTTGGGTCTCGAATTCTTGTTAATACCCATCATTCTAGAATGGCCGAAACGGGGATTTTCTATTTTCAATGTAATTGCTTTTTGAGGTGGCTGTAGTCTAGGATAGTTTTCTTACAACTGTACATCTGTTTTATAATGTTCGTTATCTCTCCAATATTTACCTTGTCCAGCTTATTGTTCTGTCTAGTGGTTAGTTGGTGGTATATCAACAAGGAAACTAGAATATTCACCTCGCCACCAGCAATGTCTAGAACCTTCGTGAACCATCAACCATCACAATACAGGCACATCATGATGCATCACAGCTCTCTTTCACGCAGAACGTGACGTCATATTCGCCGTCGTACTACTCGAGTTACCTGGTAGAATGCTCTAGAGAAATCCTGCGTTTTCCCAGTAGGATCGTAGAATAATCTATATAAGTGTTGTGTTTGACCTTCCATCAAGCCATTGATCATCAACTACCAATAGCTATACAAACATCCACCTCGAATCTCTTCCATACTAAACAAACAATCTGTCTAATCCAACTAAACATGGCTCTCTTCCCACGCGCTCCCCACGGCGAATTTAACAGCCTTTTCCGTCTTCTAGATGACTACGACGCCCACCGCTCTGATCGTGGGACCATCACCTCCTTCAACCCACGTTTTGACGTCCGCGAGGACAAGGACGCATATATCCTCGACGGCGAGCTTCCGGGCGTCGACCAGAGCGACATCAACATTGAATTCCGCGATCCACATACACTTGTAGTAAACGGGCGCATTGAGCGTGCATACCAATCCGGGTCCCCGCCGGGCAGACGCATTGAGAGCGCCGAAGGAGGCAAGGGCAAGAAAACTGCAGACGATGAAACCAAGTTCTGGGTTTCGGAGCGCTCGGTGGGCGAGTTTCAGCGTTCATTTAATTTCCCAGCGCGCGTGAATCAGGACGCAGTCAAGGCATCCTTGAAGCATGGTGTATTGAATGTGACGGTGCCCAAGGCTACAGCACCGCAGACGAAAAAGATCCGGATTGACTAGGTCATTATTCTATTTTTATTTGGTGAAGTGAGATTGATGGACATCCATCGGGGTAGTAGTGCGTTCTGGGCTGCAATTGGCTAGCCCGTTTCCTATAACTAAAAAACAAAATGGGAGAACGGTTTAAAATCATGAAGCTTTGTTGGATGTTGTATTTATTGCAGATCTATTTACCAGTCCAAGCAGCAGTAGGTGGTTGTTGGCTGGTTAGGTAGTTAGCAGCAATGAAATGGTCGAAATCAAATGAACGATTTGTTTGTAACTGTAAAAAAAAATTCCCGGTTCAGATCATTAGACCACCACCACTTTACCTATTTTTTTTATTTCCTGCATCTCGCAACACAACCAGCCTCGGACTGTAATAACGCCAGTAGGATTCACTCTTTTTATTTACGAGGACTATATACCAGACTTCACCCAGGGAAGAATAACACTCGAGCAGGACTATTGCCCCTGGCAACGGCTCTCAATGTTGTTTATCGTCGTCCTCTTGGCAGTATTGGGAGCTCTATACAGACACAGAAACAACACAAGGGACTCGGATAGAGAGGAGAGTGACCAGAAAAGAAGGAGACTGCTCATTACCAGTCCAAAAACTTCCTATCCTACCCCAATCTCCACTGTGACATGCGAAACAGAGGAGAAAAAGGACTCCTGCTGTTGTGTAGTGGAGCAACCCTCAGATAGTAGGGAGCATCCCATTTCTCACAGGTGAGTATCTAGAGAACGTATCTTACTCGTACGATATTTATTACTGAACAGTTTTTATAGTATGCCGCCTTTTGAATTGGATAAGGAGTTTATAACTCCCCCAGTCACACCAACAAAACCTCGATTGAAACTCCCCCAAAAGGAAAAGAGTTCTATTCCACCATCGCCTCACAGACCGAGCGGAGATTTATTTTGGAGTCAGAATCTCACCAATGAATGGAATGAAAATTTTTCTCCAAGCAAGGTCCAGCGTCCGAAATTTGATCCTCGCAATTTTGACATATTCTCAGACTCCGAGGACGACATCATTGAAATCCCCGATATATCTATACCCAACCATCTCGAATGTTCTCCCGATGCAGAACCTGCTTCGGATCTACCACTATATGCATCCCCGGTCAAAAAGACTGCTAGTCCAAGGAAAAGAGCAGCTACCCCTCGAAACACAGCCGCAGCTAA